AGTAGTCCAAATCAGTTACTCAAAGCTTTTATGCCAGTAGCTCACAAAGTAGAATTTTTGCTCAAAGCCTCCACAGCTTAGAGGGAACATTGGTTGGGACCACTGGCCTGATCCAGCAGGGCTCTTCTGGTGTTCTTATGAAGGCCTCGGCCTCCATGCCCTGTTGTTGGCCCTCCAGAGGAACTGGCTGGTCACTGTGTGAGACAGGAGGCTGGACTAGATGGACCCCTGGTCTGACCCAGCAGGGCTCTTCTGATGTTCTTATGAAGGCCTCGGCCTCCATGCCCTGTTGTAGCCCTCCAGAGGAGCTGGTTGGCCGCTGTGTGAGACAGGAGGCTGGACTAGATGGACCCCTGGTCTGACCCAGCAGGGCTCTTCTGATGTTCTTATGAATGCCTCGGCCTCTATGCCCTGCTGTTGGCCATCCAGAGGAACTGGTGGGCCCCTGAGTGAAACAGGATGCTGGACTGGATGGACAATTGGTCTGATCCAGCAGGGCTCTTCTGATGTTCTTATGTTCATGGGCTCCTTTAATTGGGAGATGGGGACAACAACCCTGCAGGAACAGCAAGTGTTTCTTGAGAGGCGCCTTCTTGCACTTACCCAGTGAGAGCCGAGCAGGCTTGCGTCAGGCAGTCCCTCTTCCCAATCTTGTTGATGCAGTCGCTGAATGCCGTCTTGATGTCCGGGATTGAAAGGCAGCCCTGTGCAAAGGGGGGAAAGCATCAGAGCCTGCTCAGCCACCATTGTACGCAGAACCGACTTTCTGCAACCGCTCCTCATCCCTTACGCCGGGAGTCCCCAACGTGGTGCCCCGCGGGAACCCACCTGCCCGCCGACACCTTTCCTGGTGGCTCATCAAGTGCTCTTAGAAATGGGGGTGGGGTTTGGTGAGGCTTTTGGCCAACAAGGCTTCTGATTGGCTGCGCAGATTGAAAGGCATTCTGTTAAGCAGAGGTTTTGCCTGAAATGTTGGACCATTAGAGTTATCTATAACCTCGTTCCCTGACATTTGGTGGCTGGCTCCGCTTCCCGTAGCGGCCATTTTGTGACTGTGCCTGCAGGCTGAAAAGGGTTGGGGACCCCTGCTTTCTGCCATACCAGGGGTCTGAGACGGAGGCATTTTAGCGAAGAGGAGGAGGAGGAGAAGAAGAGATTGGATTTATACCCCGCCCTTCACTGTCTCAGAGCGGCTTACAATCTCCTTTCCCTTCCCCTCCCCACAACAGACACCCTGTGAGGCAGACGGGGCTGAGAGAGCTCTTTCGAGGAGTGGGAGGGCTTCCAGTGTCCTGGCCCCACTGGTGGACCTCCTGATGCCCCCTGGTATTTTGGGGGTGACAGAGTGTTGGACTGGATGGGCCACTGGCCTGATCCAACATTGGCTTGTCTTATGTCCTTATGTTTGTACTAGCTGTGGTGACTAAAAAGAACCTCCGCCTCTGGAGTCAGTCAACCTTCTGACACCCAGCACCAGGAAGCAACATCATAGAATCCCAGAGTTGGAAGGGTCCATAGAAGCCATCTAGTCCAACCCCCTGCTCAATGCAGGATCAGTCTATATCAGTGGTGGCAAACCTATGGCACGGGTGCCAGAGGTGGCACTCAGAGCCCTCTCTGCGGGCACGCGTGCCATCGCCCCAGCCAGGCCCAGACCATTATTAACGTGTCGAATTCTCTGCCAAATAGTTTTAAGTAAATGAAAGCCTTTGGGATTGCTTTCCTTACTTTGTTTGGATCATCTTAAGTTTATGTATGAGTGGTTTTTTCTAAAGTCAGAACCTCAGTATTCAGGTTAGATTGCCGTGTTGGCACTTTGCGATCAATACGTGGGTTCTGGGTCGCAGTTTGGACACTCGGTCTCTAAAAGAACATAAGAACATAAGAAGCCGTCCATGCTTGTAGCCCCCACCACTTCCTGTGGCAGTGAATTCCATGTGTTAATCACTCTTTGGGTGAAGAAATACTTCCTTTTATCCGTTCTAATCCGACCGCTCAGCAATTTCATGGAGTGCCCACGAGTTCTTGTACTGTGAGAAAGGGAGAAAAGTACCTCTTCCTCTACCTGCTCTATCCCATGCATAATCTTATAAACCTCAATCATGTCACCCCTCAGTCGTCGTTTCTCCAAGCTAAAGAGCCCTAAGTGCCTTAACCTTTCCTTATAGGGAAAGTGTTCCAACCCTTTTATCATTCGAGTTGCCCTTTTCTGCACCTTTTCCAAAGCTATAATATCCTTTTTAAGGTGTGGTGACCAGAACTGCACACAGTATTCCAAATGAGGTCGCACCATTGATTTATATAGGGGCATTATGATATTGGCGGATCTGTTTTCGATACCCTTCCTAATAATACCCAGCATAGCATTGGCCTTCTTTATTGCAGTCACAATCACTGGCCTAGAGCATCCCGGACAGGAAGTGTTTGTCCGGACGCTGCTTCAAGACTCCCAGGGACGGGGAACTGACCACCTCCTCGGGCAGCTGATTCCACTGCGGCACGACTCTGACTTCTAAAAGGTTTTTCCTAATATCCTTCCACTACCTTCCCGCCCTTAATCCAAACCCATTCTTGCGAGTCCAGGGGAAGGGCTGAGGTTGGCTCCCTTTCTGTATCGGTTTTCGTAAGAATAAATGTACCCATAAAAATCCCAAAATAAAGATGAGAGGCGATTAAACTAACGAAAACCAAACTTCAAGAGCTTAGCCGGAGGGAAGGACCGAAAACTTCATTCAAACCAGATGCTTGCAACCGAGGACCTAACTGGATTCACTTTGCGTGGGATTTTTGCCCGAAATGCCATTTCCTGAACGCGGCGCTGACATGAACAAAGGCTAGAGAGACGAAAACCATCTTACTGTCCCTTAGATCATTGAAGATGGTCCCATAATAACAACAAACACATGCGTGACAATCGCCCGTCCCCCGTTTCAGGACGAGGCTGTGTGTCAAAGTTTTCAAGCTACCACTCAGCCTGGGAAGACGTTTGCCAGCGAGACCAGATGCCAAAACAGCTGTTTCTATGACCTAACGTCCAAGACTACTAACACCACTTAAAGCACATCAGAGGCTTTGTGGTACAGGTCAGAGTGTGCCTGAAAAGAAGGTTCCCACGGGGAACGGGCGCCACACGGCTCATGGGAAGCAGGAGGAATTCTGCCAAAGTGATGGAACTCAGACCCAGGTGGGGCAGGTCGGTCTGTTGGAGGTTGCGAGGGGGTGAGGCCTCGGATGGTGGGATGCACTACATGGGGAGGGGTCTCGGACCTTTCTGAGCCTGGGGGCACATTTGGAATTCAGACACAGGGTGGTGGGCAGAACCACAAAATGGCTGCCGGGGGGACGCAGCCACACACAGAGACAGAACCCAAGGGCAGGGGAGAAGGGGGGTAATTAAAAAGAAAAGAAAAGATTGGATTTATACCCCGCCCTTCACTACCCGAAGGAGTCTCAGAGCGGTTTACAAACTCCTTTCTAGAGGTAAAAGTAGAAGAGATTGGATTTATACCCCGCCCTTCACTACCCAAAGGAGTCTCAGAGCGGCTTACACTCCTTTCCCTCCCCCTCCCCACAACAGACACCCTGTGAGGTAGGCGGGGCTGAGAGAGCTCAGAGAGAACTGTGAAGA